CCCCCACCCCCTGCCCCCACCTTGCCGGCCCAATGAACACACCCCGTCGCCTTCGATTCCTCATAAACAGTATTGTGTGAAAGTTGAAGGAAGCTGCCAATTCGTCGGGGATTTCCATTGACTGCTGCGTCCGTGTCATGACTTACGAGACGTAAGAGAAACAGAGAGAGAGAGAGAAAGTTGGGTAATTTGCAAAACACCATCATCTCATTTAAATTGCAAATTCCTCCTCTTTTTCTGTTGAGCCAATTTACTTTGCGCCGCTTTCCAGAAGACCAAATTTGCGTCACTTAAATTTCAGCCCTAATCTCATCTGGAAAAAAAATATTTCAGTTCTGAAAAGACCCAATTCCCTCCTCCTCCTCCTCCCAACACAAAGACGCACAAGGCGAACTAACAAATGGAAACTCGGAAATCATCAGATGATTGCTTAATAATTGCGCAAATGAAATTTCTTAAAAGAAATAAATTTATTCATCGAAGAGTAATTTAAAACTATCAGAAAAGTTTGCATCTGATTTTATACTCAAGGGCTAATTGCTACTTAATACTGACTTTTAAAAATGTAAATTAGTGCAATGAAAAATCAACGGTGAAAAGTATTTTATGACCTTCAATTGCGTCCAATAATAGTCGAATTAGCTACTCAATCGCGCTCGATAGTGTTCGAATTCAGGAAAAGAAGAATAAAGAAAGGTAATGAATAGGTTTCTGCAGCTATTACACCAGTCAAGGTGTTGAATAATTGAATGGAGAAAAGTTGGCCTGTTTATTAACACTACTTGCACTTTTTCTATCTGCTTTTCGTGGAAAAGACTTAAACCAAATGCTTCTGTCACAAAATAGATGACCATAGTGGATAATTTAAATAGTTTAATTAAGTGGCGTATTTCACTTACCAACAGCCTGGCTCCCTCTTGTAGCACTTCTTCCAACTACCAAGTCCACTCCTACTGAGCACTTGGAAGTAGGCTGTGTCAATTTCCGAAAGCTCACATACCCCTCCCCTCCCCCCACCCCCACCCTTTATCCAAAACAGGGATTCTAATTGGTAAGTCTATTTCCAGTTCCATTTGCAAATAAACAACGACGATCTTCCTTCCACTGTAGTAATAAGGGAATCGAATTGAAAAAATTTATGTACTTTCATTTCATTCCCATTTCCTTGTTCACTTAAGGCGCCCTGAATTCGTCAGTTGAATTTAGGGAAAAAGTTATCATGAATATGTGAAAATGTGAAAACTCGAGTGAAATTTAAAACGAAGAGTGCAACTTTGTGCCTATTGAATTGCCACGTAATTTTCTAAGTGCGAAAAATACTTGAAATTGGAACACAAGATAGTTTATAAATATTGCTTTGTGGTAGAATTGAAAATCGATCTCCGCATTGAAAAAATTTTCGTCAAAAGCGCTGTTTACCTTCTTTAGAGACAGCTCTGTTCATTTAAATGAAGTCAATTTTGAGGAGAGCTGATGTGTTGGGATTAAAGGTGACAAAGTTTTAAGCCAACTCCCCACCCACCCACCTTGTGCCAATTCGTTTGTTTTCGTTAACAGATGCAATAGAAGGATACTAACCTGGTGGGATGAGCACCAACTTATTCAACAGAGCTTCCAGCAGCAGAAGAAATGAACAACATTTTACAAAAAGTCATGAAAGAGGCCACGGGTTGAATGTCCACCAGTGCACAGACATTGAGTTGTGCTGGTTAGGCGGTGAGGAGTCACACCAATTGATGGCGTCGAAAAACCCATTTCTAAACAAAGTTGTGAATGTTAAATGTTAGTGTCATAAAGAAAAAAACAATGAATCATTTCATGTTCTGATCTTTTATCCAATAAGGCTACTATTCTTAATGTTAGGTAGGAAAACTAATAGGAGAATCGGAAGTTTCCGTGCATTTATTTACTCATTTGATTAAACTTCATAAAGCGAATTACAATTATGTCATTCGCATTGGGTTTAATGATTTTTACTCAACTGTGAAAATTGAAACTGTCAGCAACGGTAAAGGAGGTCGTAAGATCGCTTAGTAACTGAAAAAGGGCAGAGACTGAAGATATGGTTACGCCCCATTTCTTGGCAAAGAAATCCTTCGTCCCATTTAGGGTTGTTCAGAAATTTATTTTTAAGAAACGTAAATGAATAATACTTGAATTTAAAAATAATGAACTTTAATATAATATAATTGCGATTGAAATATAATTGATAGAATGTAGTTAAATTTTAAGAAGAATTGGAAGCCATTCATTCTTCCACCTATTACACTTTTACTTAGACTCATTTGAATCGATTTTTTCGGAACCAAGTAGCACAGCAGTTGAGCGTTCCATTTGATTTAAGTCAACTCACTATCGTAAAAGCGCGTCAAGCGATCTTTGTGAATTGGTAAAATCCTAGTCGTCCAATTCCATAGAAATAGTTCATGCTTTTCTTTCTTCAATAAGTATGTCGTCAAATTCGTATTAAATTAAATAGTCTGCGTTTTGCAACATTTCTAATGGCTCTTAGCGAAGAAAAGAGAGTCTAAGAGGGCGGTGGAGATGAGTTCCTAAGTGATTTCTCACAATTGAAGGGTTTGGTCATAGTTGCCTTGCGGTTGCAAATGTCTCATAAAATAAATCGATACATCGACACGTTGACGCACTTCCCATTTTCTCTTGCTAGTTTGCGTTATTTTGTGCTGATATCTTGTTACACTGAATTTTTAACTAGCGGATATTTCTTAGTGAGCTGAAGAGTCCTCTACAAGTATTGCAAAAGCAATTAAAGCACACTTGATTATCAAATTATACCATAATATGGATCTTAATATACAGGTGATAGTATAGACAGAAGTAAAAGACTATGATATTCCACCTTCAGGTGCGTATAGGTGTGATTTATTAAAATACCACAAACGAACGTTTAAATACAGTTATGACCCTAAAGTAAATCTCAAATATGCCAGGCTCAGATGTGTTATAAAAGCCAATAACAAGAAACTAGAATAGCCTTTTAAATTAGAAAAGTCTCGTGGTATCGCTCATCGGCTATAATCAAAAAGTATACCAAGCGAAGTACTTTAACAGTCTATCAAGTGCAAACGAAAAGTTACCTGCTTAATGTTAATATCTACTACAAAAGAATAATTCAGGTGGAGTGACTCAGATACTTAACAATGTACTTATAATCTTTCAATCATCGAACGAAATTTGGAGAACTTTCATATTATACCATCTACATAACTTTGGAATCTAAATTATATAAGGATGCAAAGTCGAAATTAATGGCGAAGAAGGGTGGTGGAAGTAAAACTGTATCATTGATCTATGTTATTAACAGTATCGCAATTTCACAAAGATGTCAATTTTTGAAATTTCTTGGTTATGTTAATTTCATTTAAATCAGTTTCATCTACAACCATCTATTTAGTACGTAGGGGCTTCTCAGTTAATCAATTATCAATTCTCATATACGCCATGTTAGATGTTTTCGATTGCTTAAAATGTTTTTTGAGGTCATAATTTCAATGAACGTTTTTATTGCAATACGACTTCCTCTTATATACTGTTGCGATAATTTAAGTCCGGAATCCTTTTTAAACTAGGATAATTAGCATAGAGATTACTGAGTGCAGGACAAACTTTAGCAGTGTAGAAATCACCCGGACATCCACAAGGACGAAAGAGTAGATTACGATGGATTCATTTACAAATAAATATAGTTTTAAAATATTCCATTTTTGAAAATTTTAATGAATCATATGAAGAAAATTGCCATCAAATGTGAGAAGTTAACAGCACTTTCAATTTATAATAGATTATTTAAGCATTATCAAGCAAAATCCTAGATTCATATCTATAAAACCATTTTATCTGAGAAACTCCTTTTGTTCAAATTTTTTAAGAATTAAGAATCTTCATTGAATTAAATCAAGTATGATAATTGAATTTGCAATAAAATTCATTTCTTATCAGTTGAAGGCCAGTAGAAGTGCTGATGCCCAAAGTTTGTCCTGATTGGTTCGAGTAGAGATGCTCAAGTTTGTTTGTGTCTATTAGACGGGTTCGTGCATCTGAGATGAAGGGCTTAAGGTAAATTTGACAGAATTTCTCTAGAAACATTTTAGCTTCTTGAATTGTGCATCATGTAGAAGCAACAGAAGCCACTCCGATAAGTCGAATCCGCATAAGACGTTTAACAATGGTTCAAACCCAAGTGTTAATTATTCTAATCCTTCTTCTACTGGCGATTGCTCGATTCTAGACAAGAATCTGGCCAACGGAAATGCTAAGGATAATATGTTTCTTTTAAATTCGGCCCCCCTCGAAAGCTCCATAAACAAGTTGGACGCTAAGTCAACTAGTTTTGCAAATGAGAGCTTTGATACATCAAAAATTAACTTGTTACCGAGTGATAGCTGTAGCGTTCTTATGAAACAATCCGTAGATAGGATTTCTAACTCAGAACAAACCGAAATTTACAACAGACTTGATGCGGTTGTTCGACGCTTGGAGCGGCTTTTAAATACAAATGATTCGTGTAGTTCTTTTTTCAATCATTAACTTTATTTGTTTTCAGTAATCAGTGACCATTCGGGAATCATTGCGTTCAATGGTATCTTGGCCGAGAAATTGTCATTTTATCTTGAGGTGTCCGGTTCTGTTGGGGATCTCGCTTTAGAGCAGGCAAAGTTAGTAAAGGAGGCGTTTGATTTGTGTCTCAATATTATACAGATGTCCAGGAAGTATACGAAGCCTTCTTCTGTGCAAATGTGTAAGATTATGGAGCCGCTCTCCCGTAAAATCGCCGATATTTCCGTAAGTTCTCCTGCTTTATCATTTCGTATCTAATTATATAGCACGTAGCCAAACGCAATAGGGGTCATCAGCTCTACCACCCCCTTTTGACTATTTCGGACTCTGTCAGCATTCTCTCCTGGATTAATATGGTAAGGACGGACTTGCTAATTTATTCCTCACTCGTTTTCGTCTAGTCCTGTCCTGCTGTCTTTGTGAGGGATATGGAGAACGCCACCAAAGTCTCTGCTAATGCCACCACACAGTTATATCGCGAATCGTATGTGGCAATCTTCCTTACCTGTTTCACGTATAAAACCTAAATAAGTCTTTCTATTGCTCTCATCTTTATCCCAACCATTTCAACTGTATCATGTACTCAGAGAAAGATCAAAAGGGAATATGCCGTTTATTGCCCTCAGTTCTTAGTGAGAAACGGGCAGTCAGCGGGCTGGTATAATTACAGCGCGCATCACTGCAGTGAATCGTTGCCCCACAAGTATTCAAGGGAATGTCACCTTTCTGTCACTTTCCATGGACTACCAGATAAACTACCCATTTTGTTTTCGTATATGGTATATTTCTTGTGCCTCAACGTATAACATCGACTAATTTGCTCCAAAAGTATCCTCTTTACGGGTTGTAATGATAAGGGTGATAATCGCCCCACTATTGTTGCTTGGTGGCTATTTTGCATTGCATCACAATCCTCCATTTTCTTTCCTTCGGATTATGTGTCCCTTTTCTCTCTCTCCTGTAGAATGCCTCTGTACGCGGAGTGGCTGAGAGCGTGGTTACGAGTGGTGAGCTGCCTGCGCACCTTGGTTTGTGATTTCTACCCGGTTGGACTCGTTTGGTGCTTGGAAGGCGCAAACGCACCTTTACCGTCGCCACCGCCGCCTTCAACATGGGCCTATTCTCCTGCCGCCATCGATTCATGCGACTGCTCTGCCACTGTCGCCGGATCTAACAAATTGGTAGGTCGGATTGTGATATTTGTGGTCGATATAATCGATTATTGCTCTACAGTATTTCCTGAATGCCATTCAAGCCAAATAGAGGCAATGGGAGATGAGTAAACTTGACGAGGTAGCCTTGACAATAGCAAAATAGCTTTTCTTAGGTTTAGATACGTGGATAATGATTGATCGCCATTAGTTTGTCGGTAGCCTCGCCAGTGGCGAAATTCAAATAGAGCAGAAATTCCAATTTCGAATCGCTTTCTGCATTGTGCGTTTTGAAATGCACCTTAGTGAAGAGTTTGGTTTGATCTTGTATCACTGGACCGATACACAACAATTTATTAGCTTGGAATGTCTTTGAGCAGTGTTTTTATCCATTAGGCATTCATCCAGGTTTTAGGATTCAAAACGAGTGAGAAGATGCTCGTCTATGATTGGATGAGTGCGCTTGAAACTACAATGCCATTTCATTTCCATAATGATGTCCGAACCCTTTAGAACTTCAAAATGTGTTGTGTTTCAAGTAATGCAAAACATAGTCGTCAGCATCTAAAGTGATGACAAGTGGAGTTGGCTGGTTTTAAGGAGTATGCGGAAGGCGCCTCACTCATGGGATCATCTGATCCATAATTGTTTACCAGATACACTAAACCTCTGCGGTCTTTTAGAATGAAACGAGTCAAGTTGCATGTTTGCGTTATGCGTCTATTATTTGAAGCAGGTTTATTTTTTCGTTTTGAGAATGTTGTTGTATTTTCTTTTTCTCCATGCTCAGAGACGTGAGTGGAAACGTCGAGATGACGGAAAGGCTTTCAATCGAGATGTTCTTCTCTCAGATATCTCCCGTACTCGTCTGAGTCAACTTAAACACATAGAGGGCTTCTCCTATGAAGGTTGATTGGAATGTCGGAATTGTGTGGATTGTACATATATTGCTGCTTTTACTCTTCTCACGACTTATTTTGCTTTCTATTCCAACTTGTTCTTTCGCCGCATGCCTAGATGACAATAGCATTCAAATAATTTGCATTCATCCTCTTGGTTCGTGCTCTTTCAATAAAAGAAAATGAAACCGGGTCAGACCGTGATGTCTGTGTTCGTCACACTTCTCTATTTGATCCAATGCGCTTTAACCTTAAAGGGGGGGGGATGACCGAGCGAGGTCGTTAGAGGAGGGGCGTTAAAAAAATGGGCAAATTTTGTTACTACGAGTAAGGATGTAAGTTGAGAAGCAACAACGAAATATACAGACCTGCGAATAAAAAGTGTGCACCTAGAGGTCAAGTAAACTATGACCTTATTGCAAAGCGAATTATGAGACGTCAATTTACTGCATATATGAAATTAAATCTCGAGTGATTGTATCTCAGTGAACCCTGCCAAGTTAGAACGATTAAGGTGGCCTCGAATCTGCAAATGTTAGCTAAAACTGACTAAAGGTGGGATTGGTGTGGCTCCCTTTGTTTAAGCTCACGCAATCCAAAATTTTGGCTGCGGACCCATTTTACCTGGATCGTGGGATATGCGATCATGGGGCGCTACAGGAGGAATCGTTGTTTTTTTCGAAAACTGTTTCCCAGCGGAACTTGTCTCTTGGACAGTCCTAAAGGTGTTGGAGAAAAAGTGGCACAAGTTGCGCCCTCCGTCTCCAGAGATGTCCTTCCATTCTTCAGATTCGCATTCCTCCATTTGTGCAAACGGGAGGGCTCTTAAAGCTCACTTTTTTAATGTCCAAGCTGAACTTGCAGAACGAACTCTGCTACTTTTGTCGTCGATCAAATGGGGATGGCAATAATGCCACTGCAAATCCAATTTCCTAAATCTGATCGGCAGAGAAGGGGCGCTTCTAAGGAATATGGCGCTTCATTAGTGAAGGCTGAAATTGGCATAAGCAAGTCACCCAGTGACAATTGGTGACAAAGGCCCGGCAAATCATGCGAGTGCTGTACTTCCTAATTAATTAATGGATGCCAATTGGCACTTCTCGCAAGTACTTAAGTGTGGAGTTAGTGGGGGTGAAGACCCCGCCAACGCGTCTACATACGACAGACATCGCTGAGAATTCAAGATTTGGTTGGCCGAATATTCCAGACAAGGGTGCTGATTTCCTTGGTTTCCTAAAAATGAGTGGTGGCCAATAATGGAGGTCGATAAATGGAAGCAAGCATAATCGGGCATCTTTTAAATTTTATAAAGAGAAGACACGGGAAATTTCACCACAAAATTTTACTCTTCATTCTGGAGGTCTGTTATGGCTTTCAGTAAAAAGTTAGTGACATGGAGTGTGGTGATGTTACTCAGATAGAGATTTAACCAGGAAATATTAAAGGGGTGATTGGAACTTTATTGAGGATCCACCCATACATATGAAATTTCGCATGCCGGGATTGCAACTAGTCAGCGAAGTGGGAACTAATGACTGAGCTTCAATACTAGTGGTTGGAGCAAGGAGGGTTGCTTTTCCCTTATAGTGACCGCTCGGTCATGATTTATGTGCAACTTCGGTACGAGGCAAATCGTTTGATCCAAACTAATGTCAACACCGCATTCCGATTTCCAAGAAAATGCAGAAGAGATAGGAGAGGAATTTCTTAGAAAATCATCACTTATTAAACATTCATTTACAGAGTTCTCAAAGAATCCCCAAGGAAACTTGAAAATCGAGCACATAAACGACCTTAATGGGAGTTGGTTAGTCTAATTTGAAACTGCTATGGGAGTTTGCAATTCAAAATAATCTGGATCTGAAATTGGCCATCCCTCATCCAAAGTGGGCTGGGTGTAGCTGAGGAGATCGTCCTGAATTGTGCGTACCCTGATAATAAGCTATTGACTTTGGTCATTATGTTTAAAAATCTACATTATTAATAGTTCACAGACTAAAACAGTCAACTTTTAATAAAATGCTATCTTAGGAAAGTCTCAAGCCAACGGATGCCTCAGGGTCTTTAAAAAAGCTCTTGAAAGTTTTTCCAAGCATCAAGCTGGAAGCGGGGCATGAAGTCTTAACGCAAATAAAATTTTGTCAGTTTTGTACAGCCAATGCGGCGCGCGATGAGCGGCTAATAGGCTCTGCCAATGAGAATGAGAGTCAGCTACAAGCATCAAACTGCTCAACAAAACTGTGGTGATGACTCTGATTTCCATAAGGCGACATGCAGCCCTCCCTCTAGCACTGCCATCACAGCAAGATTCTTCAAGTGTCTTCTGAATGCTTCAAGTGCTCACAAGTCCCTGACTCCATGCGATTCACCTAGTCTCAAACACCCATGTACTCGGCTCACTTCCCTTCAACTCCTACCATCGAGTTCTTCGGTTAGTCCCTTCTACTTGCGGCTGTGAAACGTTCCGTCGTTCACTTAAATTCACTCACTCTCCGTCTAGTCTATCATAATATCTTCCAATCAATACCTCTGTCATGACCAAATCCTTCGCTTTCTTTCTCATTATAGCTCTGTATTCAGTTGCGCCTCTTCACTTCATTTTTGAGTCACCGCTTACTGGTGTAGGCATTGCTCTTTGCATCTTTTCCTTGAGGGTTAGGGTTAGGGATTCACGTTATTTAGTGAGTTTAAAATGCCGTAAGTCTTAGCGAAGGTTTTTGATACACCAGAAGGCAAATGTTAAGGAATGTTTAGTAATGCGGCCAAATACACGTCTGAGAGAGGGAGGGAGGTAGGGAGGGAGGGAGGGGGGGGAGAGAGCGAGGTGAATGGAGTTGGATCAGTCCAAATGCGCCAGCGCTCGGAACTTCTCCAGAAGGACAAGTATTCGGTCATCCCCATACTCACTCGCCAGACGCAGAGGTGTGATCGATTGGTCTGTCTCTGACGCCGACTCTACTGCAGCTCCTAGTGAGGGAAGCAAACGAATGCTCACAGTGGTTAAAGGCGTTAGTGCATCTGAGCTAAACTAGACCATTACAGGTACCTGCAAGGAGAAGAGATTCAGCAATATCTCGATGACCTCTTCTGACGGCTTCCATGAGTGGGCGATATCCATTTCGGTTTTGAAATTCTAAGTCTGCTCCTCGCGCTATCAGCAGCTCGACCATCGCTGCGTTTCCAGCAAAAATGGCTGCGTGCAGGGGCGATAATCCTTCTTGTTCATGAGTGTTCACATCTGCGCCCGTTTCAATGAGCAGGTCAGCAACGGCTGGGCTTCCTTTTAGGGCAACTTGTACCAGCGCTGCATCAAGTTCCCTCTTTCCAATTGGTCTTTGCTTAGAGTTCAGAAAGATGTGGATCACGTCTTCTCTCTCCTACAAAGAGATGAATCATTTCTCATTAGTAAAGGGCAGACCTTGAGGACTCACGAGTAGTTCATACCTTTAAGCAGGCGAATGTAAGAGGGGATTTGCCAGATCGACTCTTTTCGTACTCACTCAGAGCTCCATGCTCCAGAAAAAGGTTAACAACATCCACGTGCCCGTTCTGAGCAGCCATCATGAGAGGTGTTATCTCGGCATCGTTCAGTGGTTCGAGAGGCACTCTCTGCTCTATAAGAACAGTCACACACTTCAAATGACCCAAAGCGGCGGCATGGTGCAGCGGAGTGTTGCCATCGAGATCGCACTCCAAAGGATCCTCTCCGATCCGTAGAAGATCGCGCATCTCTTCCGCTAGCCCCTCCATAGCCACGTCAATTAGTGATGGCTTCTCTACCTAAGAGACGATACAATTAAAAAAATTTTGGGAGAATCATTCGCACAAACACTAATTGCAAAACGATCAACATGAAGGACATTTCTTACTGTCGGTTCATCTTCAATCCTTTCAATGCAGGGTTTCTCTTCCATCTGGAACAAATAATCACAAATGGCAAATGTTATTGAATGAAAAAACGAAATAGATACTCACTAAAACCTGATCAGATGCAGCCTCCTTCTTCTCCTCTTTAGTCTCCTCCTCCTCTCTATTTTCCTCCTCCTCCGCCTTCTTCTCCTCCTTAGAGCCCACTATTTTCTCCTGATAATCAAAATGAAAGTAAAAGTAGGGCAAAATAGGTCCAATTTTCACTGAAGCGAAACTCACATAACGTCGAAAAAGTTCCATAGCATAGTCGAATTTTTCATTCCTCACTGCCTCTATCACCGAACGAAAAATTTTATCCTGCGGCTCGATATCTTCATCATCAAGCACCTCCGGAGTGCTTTCAGTCCCACTTGTGTCGGTCGAATTCAACTCTTTCTTCACCATCGTCTCCGTCTCTTCTTCACTGCTTCCCAAAGAGCATTCGGTATCTCTTTTCTTTCTTTTCAATCTCCTAACTTTCCGTTTGTCAGTTTCCAACAACTGATCTTGTAATACACTTTGTTCGTCATCACTGTCTTCACCACCCTCTGTCACCAATGACGGACCTTCTCCATCCTCTTTCCTTCCTCTCTCGCCGCTATCATCGTCATCATCAACAAAATTTTCCTTAATTTAAGTAAAAGCAATTTTTTGCACAATTAAGATTGAATGAAATGGTAGTTGTTACTGATAAATATATACCGAGATACTAATTTCCACCTTGAGAACGAAGTTAGATTAAACAAATTAAAGAACTCGCTCACTAAGAGAGTTTATTCTAACGTGCCACGGTTACGCACAGCAGCTAAAGGCAGGTTCGTGAGGTAGGACTCATATTCTGTAGTGATGCTGGGAGATCCGGTTCTGCCGTCACACAGGCCTACACTCACACAGAAGACTAGACAGATGCGCAAGGACTCCTTACTCACCTGGTCAATTCATAACAATCCTGCTCACAGGTGATTATAGTTAATGAACTTCCAAATGAAGAGGGCGATTTTTGAAGTCTAGCTCAACAGGCACTCTCTAGCCAATTGCAGTCACCTGTTAGTTTTGCCTTGTTAATTTGTACCAATGTACCCAGCCACATCAACTGTAGTTTTATGTTAGCGGCCACTTGCAGGATGGTTAAGTTAAATCTTGGTGAACTACGATTTAATTCAGAATATTTGAATTGATCTCTTCCGGAGAAAGTGGTCGTTCAAGCTGTGGCAAGCAACGTGCTCGCTCTGCGGAATAAATCGGGGGATTTCACAGCTTTTCTCCCAACGCCACCGAGTCATTCCATAGGCAAAATGCTGATGAAACTTTTCTTTTATGAATGGCCTTTAAATGCACTTAAAGCTTCAAAAGCAAGGTGTCTTAAAAAGAATGATGAAAGTAGTGCTGTTGAGTGCATGCAGGTGTTTGCAGAGAAGAAGACTCAATGGAAGGAAACATCGATGTTGAATGGTCGCATCTATTGTTGCTTAAAGTTGAACAAGGGAAAGCATTCGTTACTGCTTTGTCTTTAAGTTAGTTTACCTTAACCCTGATCGCATGACGGCTTTTGGTATAAGGCGAAAACAAGGAAGATTATTGAGTATACCATTTGAGGTACAAAACCATCCCTTGAATCTCGTGGTTTGTGATCCCACATGAGCAGGTAATTTCCCCTTAAATTCTAGTATGAAAGATAAAAATTCAGATGACGCTGATTATCTTCCATAAATTTCGAGATGTGCAGTGGTTGAGCGATGTCTTTATTCATGTGCTGATGGTTTTGGATGATTCTATCAAAGCATAAACACGAATAGAGCGATTCATGAAGGCACCCTTTTTTCACTGAACCAACATTCTCCCTTAATGAACCTGAGAAAAGATCAGTTAAAGACTAAAAACGACATGAAATAAACGCTAGATGAAAAAGAGGATTGAGCATTTTGAGCACAGACCCTCTTTCCATTAAACGCCGAAATTTCCTACCGGATAGAAATTCAAAGGGTGAAGTCATATCGTATCTTGAGTCCACCCAATCATCACCCGCAAAATGATCTACGAGAACATTAATCACTAATACATTTAAAAAATCTCTCCAAAACATGAATGGAGAGAATCTGTTTTGTAAAATGGAAAATGTATTTTACGAAAAATGTAGATAAAAATTTAGGCGAAAGCAGAGTTTTATGTTGTCACTAAAACTTAGAAAAACTTCAAGAAGAGAAGGCATTTTTTGAAAAGTGCAATAATTTAAACTTGCAACTGAAGTCCGCACTCTCTATTCAACCCGCAAAGCTCCGAGAACTACTGTACCATTCCACAACGCCTCGAAGGTTTAATTATAAAAAGGAACCGAAGCAGTAAAGAATAAACGCACCTTCTGGAAGCAAAGATTTTCCTCCGACTTGTCCAGGTCCTTCATTTGAGACTCTTTGACAGGCGATGAATTGTTCGAATCCTTGCAAAATGAAAAGATCCTTTATAGTCTAGTTCATAATTAGTCAAATTCGACATGAATGTGCGAATCAGCAAAAAAATACTTTTAAATTTACCATAATCCCAAATTTGTGAACAGCATTTATTGCTCTAAGTTGAAACACTAATCCAATTAACCAATTACTGTCAAATAGCTCAAAGTGCAGCCTTATTGGTTGGCGAAAGCCTGATTACATGTCTGCAGGTGGTCAGGCTGAAGCGAAGTATGAGGTGGATGTCCCTTCTTCCTTATACGTGTAGGTGCTGTGCGGACAAGCGGGCGCGCACAAGGAGAGGGGAGATTTCATTCAACGGATCAGGGTTTCGGCGTCGACTATTTAGCTGTCAGAGTAATACGCTCTGCTGCTTTTGCCAGTAATTTGATCGGGTGACTCGCGTGTACGTTAATGCCACATTGAGAAAGATATGCTGATATGAGGGGACGTAAGTACCATTGTCATTGCTGAGAATGAGAGCAATCGCCATTTTCGGAATGAGAATTAGTCCGTTGTACACTGAAAGGCCATCTTCTTCTTATAAAATTCACAGTTTTAACTTGTATTCCCTTGAGGCGAATGCCTACCAAAGAGCGGAATCAAAATTGTTACCTTTTTTACAAGAGCCAAAAATTTCAACCACTTCTTTATCGCCTTGTTCAATTTCTTGTTGGGATGACTAGGTGCAAGCATTTCTTCTACTTTTAACTGGAAGGTAATTGCTGAAAAGAAGCTTGAAGGTTAGAGGTGAAGTTAGACTTTTCAAAGTCCAAGCCATTTTTGCTAAAAGTAGCATATTTGAATACTTCCAGAGACATTTTAAATAATAGATATTTTCTGCAAGTCTCTAACAAGCAATTCTTAATTAACATTACTATTTAAAAATGAAATGAGTATTTACAAATAGGGAAATAATCCCTATCATTAAGTTAAAGCAATATAGGCCGTCCTCCCCTCGATTCAAAGCACTTCCAAGACACGGAAATGAACGCTTTTCAAACATTCCCCCCTAATTCAACAGGAACCACATGTTCCAACAATATGCTGTTTGCAACACTTTGACCAATTGGTTTTCTCATTCACTTTCGAACTTGCCGCATGTTATGCGAAGCACTTCAATCCATACCCAGTTCTTTTTTTTCCATTCTCACTCAGGGAGGTCGGTGAACGCTTTTGGCTAAGCAATCTTCTAACCTTGCCACTTGTCAAAAGGTGATCCACACTAGATACTTTTATTATAAAGCAGAAGCACTGCTTTTGCAGCACCAGCAACAGCACAATCAGGCTTGATTTATAGCAACGAAATGGAGTGCTTCTTGTGACAACGCTCTGAATGTTCATTCTGATGTGCGCAAGATTCGGCACAATGTGCATGGACATAAGGTGACTGCAAGATAAAGACGTAATGCGGTTAAAATTTTGTTGTTTAAGACAGACATCCCTTAATTCTTCAATCCTCTAATTTTCACGAAAGTGCTTCTTTATGTCATATTAAGCACATAGTTTGTCAGCCTTGTCTAGTAGGCGATATTTGAAGAGTAGAGATTCACAATAAAAAAAAGAATTTTGAAAATGTGGGCAGGTGATTGCCAATTTGCCCTCTATCACTCACTTTCGTTTGAGGCATTCTCCTAATGCTTAAATAATACCTTAATTGACAAGGTCTCGAAGAGCCTTCTTAAGGAGTGGCATTTCTTCACGCGATATTTCGTTAATTAGTGGGTGCCAATTAACCTTTGCATGTTTACAGTCAGAAGGGAGAAGAGGCTTTAGGGAAAGAAATAAATTTATACGGAAAACAACGATCAAAATAGATAAACAAATTTGACCTGTGAAAGCACTAGAAAATGTTTACACAAAAGAAAGAGGTAAAGTGTAAATTATGACGGAGGTCTAGTACTTGCTGTGCCGGCTTTGGTTCAAGTAGCCATTCCACTGCTGCAGGTATGGTTGCTGACGCCGACGAAGTGACGAAGGGGGTGAGGAGGTGGGGGTAGCTATACGCAGGGACGGGACACCCCGTCGGGCGATTTCGTAGGCGATGAGTTGACGCCAGAAGCCTATGTTGGGACAGATACAGGGTCTGAGGCCACGCACGTGGTCGTAGGCCTCAGCCAGCGTCATGTGACCGTGTTTCACCAGGTAGGCGAGCACGAGAGTGGGGGAACGTGAAACCCCCGCAATGCAGTGCACCAAACTTCGCCCTCCTTTCCTCGCTTCTCGGGCGATTCGATCAGCTACCGCGTCGAAGTGAGTCCCCAGATCAGTACTCTCTAAGTCCTCGACGCAGATCTGTACATGTGCCCTCCGTCCATTGTCTCCTGGTGATGCAGAAGGTCGTAGGAGGAGGAGATCTTGGGGAAGGACTTCGATCATTGCTGAAATAATCTGGGTCACTCCACAGGCCTCCAGTCTAGCCGGAGTCAAGGCCTCGAGGCTGCTCAAATAAAGGTGATCATTGATACGCGCGATTTGGCTAAACATTTTTATGCTGCTTACTACATCGGCTTCTGCGTGGCTCGAGTTCTCTTGACGTGGTCGTGCGACCCCCTACAATTAACTTTAGCGTTTTATTGGTTCTTATATGGGAAACCAATGGGCTTTAACCATGGGTTTTATCACGTGTCCTAAGGAACTATCGTTGTGCCGCCGTACGTGACCAGTAGGAAACGCTGCCTGGGCGCAAATATCGTCACTTTTCAGCAAATATAATCGCATCAACATTTGCTAATTTCCGAAAATCGTCAAAGTAAATGTTTTCAACATGCTGCTTTATTGCTTTTATAACTAGACTGGCCTTAAAATCTCTTTTTGTTTGGCATTTACCCTGATACTATATATTTATATATATATATATACATATATATACATATATATAACAATTAATATATTTCAAAGATTATTTGATTTATTTTTGGATCAGCAGAGTCCTACACCACATGTTGGACTGAATGTATTCAGTAGAAGCCTCTTCTGAGTAAATAGTTCTCACAGAAAGTGGAATTTGCATTGAGCCCTAAGTAGTTACCTTCAGGGCAAATTTACTCGAGGCAAAAAACAGTTTGACAAAAAATTGTCCAATCACAGGTATATGATCATTTCTCACTTTTATACTCCTTTATCGAGTTAACTTCTTCATGCATCAAAAGATATGTTTTTTTAAAAAATAATTGAAGGATTTCAGTAGGTTATTATGTCATCTTGAAATGAAATTCGTCCCTTTGTTCAGTGGTGTGAATAGGACATGAGAAAGCACTCGACTAACCCTTAGAGTTACAAGTAGCTGGAGACATGTGCATTAAGTACGTATTACTTTCAAGATTAGACAAGACATCTCACAAAGTGATGAAAAAAAGACGATAGTATGATGATATGTGTATAATTAACTCTGGAATGCACGAATATGGATCACTGAATGGTTGAGGGGACTTTGTACGTAAAACCACGCTAGATTAACTAGTGGCCGGCTGTACCTTGCACTTTCGAGAATATATTAATGCACTCAATGGAAGCATAGCAAACAGATGAGCAGAAAGGTCATTGACATTGGGCAAAGGATTACCATAGGTAGATTGACAAATCTTCTTCTGACGTTGGAAGAAATTGAAAAGGCACTCGTTTGGTACCGGATTGCTCGAAGGATCCCATTAATCCACCACAACTTAACTCCAATCTCTCCTTTCGTCGGCCAAAATTTAATTGCATGTATTTGGTAAATTCAGTGGTTCGGATAGTCCTCTGTTCACCTTCTAATTAACTCAATTAATGTTCTTGCCGGTACTATTTCCAAAGATTAGTGCTTATTCTGTTCCTTCTTTTGGGTAACATAATGTAGGTTTCTTTTTACCAACCTTAAATAATTTTAAATGCCTGAAATGGTATATGCTATTGAGTAAATTCCCGATCAATTGCTCCAATATTCATTTATTTCGAATTTTATGTCCTTCAATATATTTTCAATCTTATAATGCAAATCAAGTAAGTTGAATATGTAAATTATTCACTTCAGGGTATATGATCAAAATATTGTAAAACTTCAAAATTGATCCCGAAGCTGTGCTGATTTGTTCTCACCAGCATTCGAGACCTCATTCCTACATCTGTTGTCCAGCCAACATGATCGGGTTGTACGAGGAAAAGCCAGTCCTACTCATCATTGACTTCTCTTCCACGGCTTTACAGTAAGTGGGTGTGTACTCCCTCGTCTCTCTCTCCATCCTCCTACCTTGATCGTTCAGATGGGACATGGGTGAGTGAAGTGTCTTCACAAGTTGGTCATCTCTTGGACTTATTGAACTCAATTATCCTCTGTATGATTCCCCTTAACGGCTTTTTACCTGACAGTTTTTTTGTTAATTTTTTAGAACGACGTTGACACTCCAATAATCAAACCCGATCGAGTTGGTTCGACTCCACAGGGAAATTAAAGCCAAACGATTACTTGCAATTCACTGGAGAACTTTGCCTATATCCAAAAGGTTAGCATTTGTTCTCCTCGTACCCTCCCCTTCTGTATGGCTTTCTCTGTATTCCTATGTGGCGTGTTTGTAGGTATATTGAACAAGACTGATTCGACTCATGCAAGCTTTTGAACAATACTTAAGGTGGCGTCATTGAGCTATCAATGTGATGAGATAATTTTAATTGCAGAATACCATCTGCATTTTATTTTTCAAAGAAGTTTATAATAAGCATATCCCAGAAATGAACAAAAAAGTTGAAATAATAAGAAAAGGAATTTTTAATTCTGTAGAGGTACATTGATGTGCTCGTAAAAATAGAAACTTTTTTGCAATAATACTGATAACGATAGCACTAAAACGTCTTGCAGGATCAAATCAACTGGATTAGCCGCATACAACTAGTTAAATTTATATTACTTCAAATGTAAAGTTTCGTTAGTCATTCCATAAGTGTGTGTGTGTGTGTGTGCTACAGATTCTTCAACTAATTCAATTATAAGATGGAGGAAGAGTCTCACTAGTCAGCTGGGGAGTGAGGAATGGACCTCACTGCCCAGCTGAATTTGGTGGGCGAAGCAATGGTCAACACCTTCATGTAAACCTTAACGGAAATATGCAGTCAGACGAATCTGCCATCTACTGGAGTTCTGGTTCTGGACATCATGAAGACTTAAACTAGCTCCTTAACATTCGCACTTTTGAGGTAGGCTTACTATGCAAGTAGTTCGCTCAATTATGACATCCGAACTCTTTCATTCCCAACAACACTGACTATTTGAATAGTCATTTAACTGTTCTACTTCTGCTTAATGCACACTTCTCCCAATTCTCTTTTACTGCGAAAATTACAATTTTATGATGACTATACTTTTGTCATATTTGAAGAATTTGAAAATTAGCACATTTCAAGCCCATAATTAGAGTTTATTCTATGTTCAACCGACTTTTATGTTTTCTCCCTAAATTCCCATTCATTTCTTAAAATTGAATAGGAGAATTACGTTCTCGTAGAACGTAAAATGTGACCGTGGTTGGGGTGAAATAATCTTAAATAATTTCTCAACATTTTAAAAATGTCTTTAATAGTTTTAACCTGTAAAAAAATTTACATATTATTTGAAAAATCTCCAAAATATTTTTCATTGAGACTTTCAAGTGTTTTGGCAAGGAATCGTTTTGCGTCGGTCCAGTGTTTATGTCAGTAAAAAGGATGTGAAAGTTGACTTGATGATTGATATATACAAATGACTAATGGTTCCAAAGTACGCCTTTCGAAATCAAGTGCTTCTTATTCGCACGAGCGATCAATTGTGTGGACTTCGTTCCAATCCCTTCCACTAGAGTTGACAATCGTTCAGGCTAAAATAAACAAAGGCAAATATTGTTCAATGCAAACAGGTAGCTGACTTTCCACATGAACCCTATTTAGTGATGTAGACAAATTTGCTTGATATCACTGGAGCCTTCTAATTTCAACTGAGTTCATAAGAGAGAGAGAGAGAGAGAGAGAGAGAGAGAGATGTGTTTCGCATCTTCACCATTTGCAAGCATTTAATAAGAGCATGGCTAATTGTCACCCTGCATCATTGCTTTCCATTCCCTTCTACCCTGCCTTTTAACATACACACATACATACATACATACATACATACATACATACATACATACATACATACATACATACATACATACATACATACATAGAGATATATCTACACGCATGTTCTCTGTGTGAGAGAGCATGCCCGAGTGAATAAAAGGCATTTGGAAAGGCGAGGTTAATGAAGCACCTGCTTTGCCGCTTTTTGTGGCACCAGCAGTAGCAGACGATGATGAGGACCAGGAGTAGAAGGGGTGTTGCCACTGTCATGCCGATGGCCAAGGCGACCTCTGTTCTCAAGGGAAACAGAATTAATTTGCATGAGATGGAGATCATGTGCATGACGCTTTGTTCATTATAAATAGAACTCACTTAAAGAAACAGAAGATTCCGAGGAAATATCTTCATATTCTTCTTCGTCTTCCTCTAAAGAAATTGAAAAATTTTAATTTTATTTGAGGAGAATTGCAACTAATCCTAACAAATTGCATTCATTGAAAAAATTTTACGAATCTTAAAGACGCTCTTATGAGTGGGTAAAAAATTCCAAGTAATTTAGGTAAATTGAACTTATTTCCGATTGCTTTTAAATGTTGCTCTTGAATGGACGTGTAACTTTATCTCGCCTGATCACTGAAAGTATTCCCCAATGCCATCCAACAGCACTCACTTCCTTAAACGCTGACAATCTGAACACGTTAGAGTCACATTCGGCAATGGAAAAATTAATTTATTAATAAGTTTTAGTTGGATTTAAAAATAATTTATTAATGCTCTAAAATATTCTCTTTCCTGTAGCGTTACAAAATTTGTTTTGCTGAATTGACTAGGCCTTGAAGTGTTCGTAAACATATCGAGGGTTAATTTTGAAGAAATGAATTATCATAAAATCGAAATTAATTGTACAATTAACTAACCTTCAAGGTAGGCCTTTGAAATTTTTAAGACGCTTGGACCTGCAATGTTGAATGCAGATTTTCAGATCAATTTTAAATGACAAAAATGCCACACTCAAATGTCTACTTTTAATGTGCAATGAGAAGATCAGATTGGAACTTAATTAAGTTAAGGTGCTTATTCCCCGGAAAGACCGAAACGACTTCAAGAGTGCAAAACGTGTCAAAATGAATTGGATGACATGAAAAAATACCTGCTTCAACTTTCTGAGCTTCTACTATCAATGAAGTGTTTAATTTGATAACGTTCAGTATTGCATTGAGTTGTAATTTTCAATGCAATCTCAGATTCCAGTAAAGAGAACAAATCTTTTAAGACATTTGTAATGCAGCATTTTAATGTTTAAGTATTACCGTTTTTTATATTTTTTTCAAGGATAATGTTGTCTCACTATTTAAATGATTTCGAAAGTACTAAGAAGGAGGTTAAAATGGAGACCTTTAATTGTAAAATTTATTTTTTAAAGAAAGTCAGTCAATTCTTCAATGAGAATGCCAACCCAAAACTCACCGACTGACGGATGAGATAGCAGAAGAAGGAGGAAAATTTGAAGAAGACGACGAGGGCAAATTTGGAGCTTGCGGGCTCCCTTTACCTGCATCTTAGTGGCATCCACCCAAATACTGCAGAGCCTGTCCACTGTCAGTGTGCTGTGCAGGCTGACACGATTTCCCCGCTGATTGGTCGCTTTGGCACCAAGCGGACAATGTTTACGTTTTGCCTAGCACTAATCGATCGAGCTTTAGCCGGGCTGATAACTTTGTGCTGCCGCACAGTCACTTGGGCTCCACCAACTAATTGTCCCGCAGTAAACTTTCCATTTGCTTATTGAAACTGCCAGCATCATCGTTGCGAACCATGATAACCACCCGCAATGGAGTAAATAAGTATGATGATAGTCAAAAAGTTATAAATGAAAGAACCGATATTGGTATAATGAAGAAATAAGGGAGAAAATGGAGGTCAATACCAGAATAGGTCGAATTCTCTTTTTAATGCTGCGATAATTGTGAACAAAATTGACTTCAGAGGTTTCATGGACAATATCGATAGACTTACCTCCATGTGGTGCACCCTGGCCAGTGTATACTCATACGGCAAAAAAGTCTATTAATCGGCAGTTGACTACTCACTTCAAACTACCATCACCCAACTGTATGCCATATTCGACCCCTTCCACAGTACTCACCTTACATTTTTTCTATCTTTGTGTCTGTCCGTCTCTTGTACGTCCGTGAATCATTATTCTGCCCCGTTTCTCGACTTTTTACCATTCTGATATTCCTTCTTCCCTCTGTTAAGCCCGAAGTAGGCTAAAGGGTTAATGATAACCAACAAAACGCCTGCCATTTAAAATAAATAAATAAATACCCCTTCATAATTAAAGCCTCTGTTAATATTGTCAAATAAAATAAAACAACAAAACCCTACACTTTTAAATAGGAATCAGGGGTAGTATAATAAAAAGGAGAAAAGGTAAACGAAAATTCGATGTAAAGTGCAAAAGAAAACAGCTATCGTACTTATAAATAATAAGTAGGGTTAGGAGTGACGCCAGTAGCATCGATAGGGAGGAACCGATAAGCTAAACGCTCATAAATACCACACCGGATCAACAGCTCCTTCAGGTTGGAAGGCGGATATTAGCATGCCATAGTAGCATTTCCCACGACGAGAAAGTATTCTAACCGCTCCGTCTTGGGTCTTCTTCCGCCTAATTCCCGGCATCAGCTTAAGGTTGGATTTCAGTTTGAGTTCGGGTATGTAGGAAGTCAATCGTCAACGTGATCACACTGTCGAGTGGTGAAAATGTGGACACACATTGGCATTTATATAATTTCACCGACTTACCTGCCCATCTAGATTGCCTTTCCCTCCCCACCCCACCTCTAACATTCACGAAAGGCAAGACATGCACATACTGAGAAAGATAGAGAGGTAGTTTTGACACCAATAATGTATTAATAATAAAAGAAGCGTTTTATTTTCGTCAGGGGTATTGCACTTGCTATCGACATAAGCAGCACCAATTTTGGATCCGGCGAAAGCGGAGGCGGATACAGTATCCCTACTCGTCGTAACGAAAGGTCCAAGATCGGCGCTGGTGGTAGCTACCACGGACGTTCTTTCAAGGATCCGTCTATATTCGTATTTAAAATCCACTTCGAATCGATCTTCTCCAAAGAGACACTTTTGGTCATACATTGAAGCAGATGTAATCCATTGCTCCTTTATCAAAAATGTTGTTTCAACTCTTATAGACAATTTCATGTGCCAGACCATTAACCTTGTTTAAATAAATTAACATTGTAAACCGGCATTAGCGACAATCTAGATTTAAAATCAATGCCAGCAGAAATTTTCAGATCTCGTTCTACAAGCGTAGCTCATTTAAATTCAATTTCTTGTGGTAATGGGACATAATTTTGCAGAGTCATGTAGATAGCTGCTCCACAATAATATGAATGTATCTATGAATAAAACGGTTTGTTGTTGAACAAAATTATTTCTCATAACTTGAAAAAGCGAAATATACTGAAATACACGGAATTCAGCAAAAGTTTTCACTTCACCTGTCATCTTGTTTGTCAATGGGTCAAGAGTTAATGATTTCTTTTCTGCAACGAAATATCACGATTGATGCACTTGACCTGGAAATGAATGACGACATTTGTCTTTTCTTCAACGAGTCTACCTCTTTTGGCACAAAACAGGTCTTCTTTGAATTGTTCAAGCGTATCTTCTTGTCGCCAGACCATATAGGATCAAATTCATCTATCAGTTTTCTCAGTATAAGAAATGTGTTGGCAAATCGGTATGGAAAGCAAAGAACGAGATCACTTAACTTTCCAGATTTAACTGTTCACCATCACGCGAATTCTTTCTTATTTTCTTATCACCATATTAGCCTCCATGTGGTTCACTTTGGGCAACGTTTATTCATACGGCAAAAAGTCTATTATTTGGCAGTTAACTTCTGACTTCAATCAATCAGACAAACAGTAGCCAATAGCAGTTGTGAGAGTAATTGCTTCATGAAATATTCACTTACAAAGACTGTACTACTTCTGGTTTCGTCAAGGCGTGGAAGCAGCAAAGGATAGGTTCCAACGCCCATCTAGAACATAAAAGCCAGCCTGGAAAACAGATTTGAGTGTGGGGATGGGGAAGAGAGGGTCCGTATTAAAGGAATATNNNNAAACTTGCCTCAAATTATTTTATGCTACTTAAAAGCATTCAGTAAGAGTAGACAAAATCGAGAAATGTTACGATATCGCAAACAGCAGAATAAATCAAGCTTGTTCTCTGTTGGAGTTCTCTTAATCGATGCATCAAAAATTTATTGACACACTACAAGGCTTCAATATTTGAGAGTACTGATTTCCAAATCGCTAAGAAAAGNTATTAGTGATGTGAAATGTCGCAACTCAATAATCTATTTCCGTTTCCAAAATCAACAGCCTGAAGAAATTTTGTCTGCCTTCGATAGCTTTAAAATCTCAGACATAATAACACTAACCGTCTTTAATCTCTTCACAAGAATACCATCCTACGCTTTACTTCTAACGATAATTCAACTACGCTTCACTCTAAGACTAATTTGCAGCCTTGATAGAAAAATAATAATGTCGAATATTTTCTCACCTAGAAAGCGTGAAAGAGTTGATTCTCAATCGGTCCTCACAGGTAATCGAAATACGTCTTTAAATCTTGCCTTCATTATTTGGAGTAATTCCCAGACAAATTTCTCCCAGATATGCAATTCTAAATAAGAATACAACAAGAATTTCTGTTCTTGCAACAATTTCTCTCAATTTTGACCCATCGAGTGCCTGCTGCCCCACTTCACTTTCAGATGGGTTTTGCGTGCTTAATAAGCAACGTCTCTTCAATTTTAGCCTGTGTTTGTGTGGATTACTGTTCATCTTGTAGACGATTTCCACACTAATTGACATTCACTTACAAATGGACCGATGCCATCTTCGTAGAAGCCAACTTGGAAGCCACGGAACCAAAGCAAATTCCTGGAAATGGTCAAAAACTGAGTCTAAAGCAAGCCAAAACAGTGAAGGTTGGAATATTTTTGTGTTCTCAGAAATGTTGTCATTTTCTTTACGACAAACTTGCCTCAAATTATTTTATGCTACTTAAAAGCATTCAGTAAGAGTAGACAAAATCGAGAAATGTTACGATATCGCAAACAGCAGAATAAATCAAGCTTGTTCTCTGTTGGAGTTCTCTTAATCGATGCATCAAAAATTTATTGACACACTACAAGGCTTCAATATTTGAGAGTACTGATTTCCAAATCGCTAAGAAAAGTCTAACCGAAATACATTTGAAGGTAGAAAAACTAATAGAAATTGCTTTTGGCGTTGTGTTTGTCGAGGGAGGAGCAGCATTCGAAGCTTGAAATGCATGGGATTTTTGCCTGTTGAAGCACAACTAGTGTGGGGGAATGTATTGGTGTGCAAGCCAATTTCGGCCAATAAACAGTGTATGCATGAAATACTGCAGGATCTCTTATTCCCCTTCAAGTGTGCCTATCTGGTTTTAGTGGAGGACTTCTCCCTCGTTAACTGGATATTTATATATCGTACATTGACAAGAATAAAATTACTTTGTTAGGAAATTTCACATTGAAATATGATTTATCTGAAATTTCGGATATATCTTCATCTCTGGAGTGTTCACAAACATGCCGATGAAGTGTGAATGATTGTTGAAGCATTCGTTTGTATATCACATTCTCTTTTGGCAATTCAAATATTCGAAACACCTTTGCTCACAGTTATTTAGCTGTGGCTTTTATGTCAACAGATCAATCTTTGTTTAGGCTCCACCATATCGAAATGAAATTAGACAATATATGTTATTCTTCAAAAGGAGTATTATGTAATAACAATGAAATAAGTAATCAAATGACCAAAATAATATAATATTTAATGTATTGACAATGGAAATAAAGATCTTATGGATTTTTGTCAATTTTAAACATTTCTGTACTGAGAATTGGTGTGTTCCCTATCCTGGTACGCAACTAGTTACTATGGCATAGTTTGACGCCTTTCAAAACCAATTCAATGTTTCCATCAATTTTATGTTTACGTAAGAGAAGTTGGTGGAGAGTCTGAATATGGCCAAATGGTTGATACATAATTTTTTCAAGCATTAAGGGAGGCCGTTTGCCAGAGACAATCAATCTCATTCATTTTCTCAAAGAGTTTCATTTTAAAGCTACGCTTAATAAATATGATCAAACACACGCGTACTATTTAACTAAATCGTATCAAGTTTTGAATACAGCACGTAGTTCTTGTCTGACGATATCAATTTCAGTTATAAAATGCAATTATGAAAAGCTACCAATGACGTTAATCAAATTGTGTTCCATTCTCTTCAGAAGCTAGCACACATCAAATTGAGAGCCAATAAATTTGTGGCAACACGTGTCAACTGTTGAGCATTTGCTAGAATTTAATTGGTTGCGAAAGGGTGTGTGCTATTCCAGTGGTGCAGTTACTCTCCAAAGTCTGTCACTTTTGCATTCTAAGCACAATTTTACACTCTGCTTTCAAATTCATTTACCAACGATGCAATTTCCATCTGAGATACGACAAATTGATCACGACCCCATCTCTAAATATGCCAATGGGTTCAATGTATTGCGACAAGAAATGACACTAATCGATTTGTCAATACTTGTAAGTGCATATTTTCGTTGCAGATGCAAATTTTCTCATTTCAGACCAAAGGCGGGAATACTATCCCTGCCCACAAACTTGTGCTTTGTGCACAATTTCCAGGAATAAAGAACAGTATCTTACAGAGCAAACATTCAAACCTCTCAAATTGGAGTCGTTTTTCATATAAGTAGGTCAGTTGCCCTGATTCTATCACCAACTCGTAAGTATTGTTACGGTAGTCGTCGATTTTGCCTACACTGGTGAAATAATCATAAATGTTGAAAACGTATTGGTGATATATCTGATGGCCCACAATCTTGGCTGCAAACAGCTGATTGACTGGACAACTGAGTTCATCAAGACTAGGTTCGTTAATTGCAACCAAAATAAACACAATGTGTGCGTGTGTGCGAGTGTATTAGTTTAAGTAGAGTGAAGTTCAAAAAGAAAAGATAAAGATGAGTGGTTGGAATGGGAGTTTGTGGCAAGTGATGCAACAATATACCACCCATCATTCATACCCAAGCGGCCATTGTCTTGTAGACTTGATCGACTTGATTTGATGGAGGTTTGGTCAGCAGGAAATGTCACTTCAAACGCTGATCTCATTGACGCATGCATACCAAGGATAGCGTGTGATTTTGAGAGATTAGCCTCCAGCCAGCCATTCTTCCAACACGTAGGTGTCGACCAACTTCAAACCTTACTGCAAAGTCCCTGGATATGTGATGGAAAAGAAACAGTGAAATTCAAGGCACTCTGCACATGGTTGCATGCGTCCCTCTTAAATGACGAACACGTTAAACTCGAAAAGCACTTCCATCGTCTCCTGAAGTTGATCAACATGAAGAAATTGCCAAAAGAATTTATAATTAAAACGTCAGTTAATGGATCGGATTTCAACTTGTCTGAAAGTGCAAGGTAAAATGTTAATCCCATTATTGAATATTTGGTTCTTTAGGATAACATTTCTGGACACATTTATGAATTCGATTGAAACGACAATTGAAAGGTACTCTCATATATATCTTATGCATTTAATATGAAATGCATAATGCATTGTTTTGCCGTCGCAGCTCGAAATCGATAATCTGTGTTCATGGGCGTGAAAACACTTCAAGAAGTGGAGTTCTGGAGGCTATTCCTAAAACAAGTGGAGGACGAAAATTTTCTTTCCCATTAGAATTTCGACCAGGCAGCTGCTCAGTTGCTTTGGATGGTTGGATCTAAATTCGATTGCTTACTCCCAATTACTCGATTTCATTCCTTGTAGGTAGTGTTTATACTCTGGGTGGCACGAACAAGTTTNAGAATCAATCCACAGAATGGTGAAGTGACCTTACTCCAACCAATGATTGAGGAGAGAGATTTGCATTCTGCAGTGGCTCGAGATCATGCAGTTCTAGTTTTTGGAGGTCTTAATTCGCAAAGTGACGCAACTTTAGACTCTTGTGAGGAATTCTTACCTACAACCAACACGTAAGCAATTTATATGCAGTTTTTACGCATTTTAAAACATTTTGCCTGGTGTGATGTTTGTACCTACCTTGATTGCAAATACATTTTCTGAATCAAACTGAATTTGTCCGATTTTGTGCGGATAATGACTTAAACTCACTTGATTGCTTTTGGCAATGCACTAATATCTGATGAGACTTTTCACTCGTCGTTTGAAAGTACTCACTCATTTGTACATCGTCATTAGTTGTAAGACATATATGTCAGTTGGACATGGCTCAGGTATAGCTAAAGTGGATGCACTTAATCTATTTATTTTATAGTCAGTCATTTGTATTTTTTCAGATTGACAAGATTTTTGAAGTTACGTCCATCAACATGTACATATACAGATGATTAGCATGTTCTGATATCAATTGCATACGCATTTCGAGATATTCGTGAATGCATTTTCTGCATTAATTTGAATTTGTCTGCTTCGGGTTGGAAAATGACTTGCATCCATTTCACTGCTATTTTTAATGCAATATGATGTGATTTATAATTCTTGGAGAGTTCTGGGAAAAATATTGTGTAATTTACACATCTTCATAAATAGTAAGATATTTGTATCCAAAGGACACTACTGGGTAACAGTTGACTTAGACCAAGAGATAATTAATGTGAAAGTATTCATGGTGTATTGCCTTTGTGACAAAATGTCTTCTTATTTCTGACAATTGAAGGTCTTTCAAATACCGAAACACCAGATGATGGCATGTTCAGATAAGCAAGATATTGGTAGTACTGTGAACCAGCTTGTGCGCATGCAGATACTAGACCTCACCTTATTTCAAGCTTCAACTTGTAGGTCACAGAAAACGAAATAATAAGTAACACTCGTTTTTTCACAATTTCAAAATTTAGATGGAGGAAATTGCCCCCAATGCCAACGCCTAGGTGTGCCACAGGAGCAACACATATACCCGGTGTTGGTGACATAGTTGTTGGTGGGTATGTAGAAACTGAAGGCGTTATGCAGCATACCGACAAAGCCGAAATCCTTTTGACAACTGCATCGCCTCTTGGACATGCAGGCAGTTGGTGTGAAATCGCTCCCATGCTTCGTTCGAGTGGTTTTCCTGCAGCAGAATTTTTCAATGGAAATGTATACGTCGCTGGTCATTTGCTTGCTTCAACGTCTGTGGAGATGTTGTCATTATTTTCCGAAGGACCTCCTCAGTGGACCAAAGTGATCAACGCCCCCTTTTCAACAGTTTCGATAATCTCTTTTAATGGAGGTCTTATGTTTGGTGGTGAGTCATGTTTATTTTTATTTAATTATTTCGAAATGAAGTAAATATATTTTCCTGTGATTGAAATTACGAGTTGTCCACAACATAATTATCTTCTCTCAAACGGGAAATCGAATAATTTGAAAGTATGAGGTCATAAATGCAATTTTAAAATTTTAAAATGCGTTTAGAAATACTTTCAAAACTGGAATGGAAACTGTGCTGTTTGCATATGATTTCTATCTTAGTAACTCAATACAACTTAATATTTTTAATTTGAATATCGAGTGTCATACTTGGTTTCACGTACTTTACAAAGCAGAAATCAATTTTCTCTAAGGAGAATTTTCTAAATCAGAATTTATCTGTGTCTACACTGTAAGACAAACTAATTTTTATCTTGATTTTGCTGTGGTTTTTGTTGAAGGCACACCAGATCCCTGGTACTTTTCGCTTTGACAACTCTTAATGAATAGGAAGAATGATTAGTAGAATTAATACCAGGGAAGTTCCATTGGCATCTCTCACCAATTTTGTTCAAAAGTCCCAGATAGTAGATCAATAGACATACTCTCCGGAAATGGAGGCTCGATAAATCAAATGAGATTGATTACTGTGCAGATGGAAGACAGCCACACTCATCCACTATGTAGTCAGACATTGGGAACGCTGATGATACAGATGCCACTCTTTACCATTAAAATGCATATTTTGCAAACGACTTCATACCAGTGATGTTTTGAGCACATTGGTCAATTAGTTAAATTGAGTGTTCCAGCAATTTGTCATCACTAAAATGTGAATGCAGATAATTGAATTTTGTTGGATTGCTTTAGAATAGGTGCGTTCACCAGACTGCGCTCATGAACAGTTAATGTAAAATTAATAGTTAAATCTGCTTATATTTTACCCTCATTTTAGATTATGAAGGAGCAATATATGAGGCGTTGGTCGACCAAGACAACGGGGTAAGTTTTATGACTTTGAAACTTTATGAAAGAACAAGTTGTTTATCAAGGCCTATTTATTGTTTATTCAGAACTCCTCAGGACAAAGGTGTTCCTGGAAATTGATTTCCGAATTAGACTATTTTGGCCACTTTCGTCTCATTAAGATTGATAATCTCGAATGATTTATTTTCACGCCACTGATCAACAATTTTAAATGTCTTTTACGTTTGGAAACAAACGGAAATTATAAAATGACTGTAAAATGTTGAAATTATATATTTAGTTGTAAATAAATTGAACAATAAAAATTGGGAAGTTAATATTCTTTTCCTCTATTACTGAAGCAAAACGTTTTTTGAGAAATGGGAAAATAATAAAGGAAAGAAATATGCATAATAATAAAGCCAAAATTTTAATTATTTAAATTGAAAAATTAAATAAGATTAGTACCCAGAGTGTTCTGTGAAGGAACCTCATGCGCACTTCAACATTTATCTGTACAGAGATACCACATCACATCCACAATAAAGTTGTTCCACGTGATACGTCTGTTTTCTCTTTCTAGAGGAAAAATCAATCTCAGAGTGAATGGAAGAAAAAATATGTGAAATGAAATACTAATCAATACCATCTCTTAAAGAGAGATATTAGGGTTGTGTGAACACGTCTAGAGAGGACTTTTCTGCTTATCAGCCTTCAATATTCATTCAAGTTGCGTGGAATGCAGTTCCATTACTACGCATAGTCGATGTGAGCACAATTTGCAATCAACACATCTATAGTCGTGCGTTCTGTTGAAATGGCTTTGCTGATATCAGAAGCTGCTGCATACAAGGACATTCTGACCAGAAATGATGGCTGGAGTCAAGGAAAGCCTTTTACATGTAGCATTCCACCTTAGATACGCTGTGACACTCGTTAGCAGCGCAACTAAGTAGCAATTTGAATACTAGAATATATACAGAATGTGGAATCGCTCTTTTAGTTTGTTATTATAAAGGACAGCTTATGTTTAACTTTGAGCGTTGCATTGAGTCATGAATGAGTAATTGGACATCGGATAAAGCAAATTCGTTCAACTTCGATTTTTACGCAACATTTATCGTCTTTATTCCCTGGATAAAAATATCCACCTCCACTATCCCTCTTAGAGTGGGATCGGAGTCAAACTCAATTAGTGAGTATACTACTCACATTAGCTTCAGTAGCACATTCAATATCAACTCGCGAAGAGAAATACCCCTGAAGCAGATTACAAAGTGTTCTTATAATGAGCTCTTGTTTATTAATTACTTTTCTAAACTGACTGAATACAAATATACAATTTTGAAAAGTTTGAGCTCAATGCCAACTATAAATGGAATGTATTTGACAAAAAAATTAAATTTTAAAATCGCTACTTTCACTATAATTTCAACGTAGAGAACAATAATAACGCTTTTCAGAATAAACACCAGTGCAATTCGAAGAATAATATATTATAAGCATCTATAAATTTCAACCATTTATCGTAGTTAACTTTAATTGTTTATTCTGGTGAGTTTCGGGTTGAGGTTATAGCATTTAGATTTTCAGCCATTCGTAAACTAAATGTGTAAAAATAAACAGTCAAATATGTGGAGAGACCCATTTTTCTAAACATGCGATTAAGGCCACTTCAAGCAGAGTGATTGGTGAGAGGCTGCTTTGTATAAATCCTCAGGGAAACTTCGAAATTTGGATACTACGAGCATTCCAAGATTATAAGAGGTAAATTACCACTGGGACGTAATGTGTGTTAACTACTTCAGAAAACCACCAATTGCAGCCGTGTGCTGTTTAAGACATTCCCCGAATAGATAAAGTCCAAGGTCAGACTTCAATAACTAATAAGTCTAATGCACGTCGCAAT